TGTAGTAAATATTAGTTTGAAAAGAAATGCAATGAATCAATGCGTTTCTTGAGTTGTAACTATATGTGAAATAAAATAGGTGCTGAGGCCGATACTCTAACTACGAACATAGGCGTGCACAGGTGTATGGTTATAGTACCGAATATGAAGCAAATGGTTTTTCTTATCTCAAATCTGTAGGGACAAATCCGCGCAACGGCATGTCAGAAACGCGATAACGCTAAGGTTGTGGCAGCAGCGTAACCCAGCGACAGTAAACGGAATATCTAGTCGTGAAACACTATTGTGATTCGTAGCTGTTAGGCAGAGTTTAATGATGGGGAAACGAGCCAACTGCCTAACCCATTATCAGTGCTATCTCTAAGGCGTCTATCACATTCCACTTTTTAACTATTTGGCGCGACCATCAGTTTTGTGGAGAAAACAGTGAAATTTTGTTATAGGCACTGAGGGTGCGCTAAGTTGACACTTCACACAGGAAAAACCGTTAAGTGCATGAGGCCTCACGTTGGTCGTGAAACACGCTAACACAAATGATACAGCGACTTTCTCCCTTCCAACACGAAGTTGACTGCGCACACTTGAGCAAACTAATGTTTGCTGAAAATGAAAGCAGGTATTTTGTATTATCTCCTCAGTATCATTACCAATAGCCGATCCAATTGTTTAAACGTGATAATGGGCAACCGTCACACATCAGTTAGTATGCAAAATGGGAATCGAACCAGATAGGCTCAGCTTCTTTAGTTGTAGAGAAAAGTTTGGATTTAGTTTACGATAACTATGGGAATATGCTAGTTAGATAAGTGCGTACTTATCTTCTGCTTGGTGAAATAACCTTCGAAACAAGCCATAACCCTTGTAGCCATTTACCTAAGAAATGTAACGGAGATTGCGCGGGAATTTCATTTTGACTTACCAGCTCTTGAGAGATCGCAACCATATATACCGCTATTTGCAAGAGCTCAATCACAACAGTATTTTGAAAGACCACCATCTCAAACTTGCAGAGCAGTAGTCGTGTGGAATACTGTCGAAATTGCTTTTCCATACGGGTTTGCAGAACGAGGAATGGCCTACCAGAATCTGTTATATGTTCTCCCACACTGAGAGAGTTCAAAGCCCTAGTCGACAGTGCACTTATTTCGCTGCACCATCTTACATGACCCAGTACCCATGGATAAGCACAAGAGTCTGTAAGAGATTTCACTGGTGGTCACAGTACAGATTTCGTTCCACTTTTTGACCTCCTGTATGTATACACCAGAAGGAGACACGATTTTTCCGAACACCCCATCTGCTGTCATTCCTTATGGATTTACCTTGGATTCACAGCTTATACTACGTATACTTCGGCGAGTTCACCGGTATAAACCCAATTTTGCTAACTATATTTTATATTAATATTTAGTAGTTTCACTATGACTATCCTACGGGACCTGTTAAGCTCTAGCTTTTGTACCCGTATAAAATCATTGTTCCATTGATAGAATTTTGAATTCCCGAGAGCAAGTAGGTGTGCCGAAACAGGTTAGGCATAAGTTCGTTTGCACTCCTGCTTCTGTCTAACTCCGTGTCCTTTGGGTAGCCGGTTTCCTCGACAGGTAAGTACTATTGTACTCGGGTCACCGGTGTGGGATCGGCTCAGTTTGCGAAGTTGTGTTGAATCACTCCAATCTGCTCTACTTTCAGCATGCTTATGTTGCTGTAATAAGCGGACGAAGTCAGTCTTGTACGTACAAAAATAAATGTTTTTCAGCCCAAGGGTATCATGGAAGTGTGTGCTGCATTTCCGTCATTCACTCTGTATATCAAACATGTTTGATCGCCCCCAACGTTCAGTTTCTATCAATGGTAGCGTGTGTCCGTCTCAACACAAATTTGACTGACTGCGTTTGCATACAGCCTACTAGTGTAGACGTTTCACAGAACGTTTGAGAAATTCTTGTTGAGCAGAATAGCACCTACTGCTTGCCTACAGTTTGAATGGCGTAATGGAGGGCTAAAAGCCGTAACAGAAATGAAGGACGGTATACAAGCTTTTATAGTGGGCAGGCCGAAGGTATATGTCTTATAAAACTTTACGCCAATTATGTGGTGTATAAATGGGCCTCTACATTAGTAGAGGGGAGAATAAATCAAGAGTTTTTCTATGGATATTACTCGCCTTTGTTGTCTTTAGGTGCGGAGCATGATAAGTGAAAACTTCATAATTGGTTGCATATAGCCCTACTAGACATGTCACACAGCTGTCTGCAGGGCGCGGGATCGGGTGATTAGGCGACTATATGGGGGGGATGTTGAGGTAACTTACGGGAAAACAGTCGGTTGGATAACGGTGGGAGAATAGGGATTGGGGGGTGGAGTGGTCTAGATGGGTATATAGGATTTTGGGGGCAAAAAGAAAGGAGGGTGTTTTAGGTCACTTAAAGGTTAATGTATTGGTTTTCGGGAAGAGTTTGATTTGGTGTAGGTTTAATGTGTGTATTTTTTAATGTGTGGTAGTATGGTTGTGAATTGGAGATTGTATAATTTTGTTATTAGTGTTATGTTTGGTGGGGCAATGGAGAAGGGTATGTAGATGTGGGATGTGGGATATTTTTGGTGGAGGTATAATATAATGGAGATGGGGATTGGGAAATTAATATGGTGGGGTTTTATGAAAATTATGTGTAGGTAGATATGGTGGAGAAGTGGGGGGGGATTAAAGAGGGTAAAGGTGGGATAATGGAGGAAGGAGTATTAAATGTATTATGGTGAAGGGGGGATTTTGTGGGGATATGGATGGGGGGTTGGGGTGTTGTTGTGGTTTGGTTTGGTTTGTGGGGTTGTGTGGGTTGTTTTGGTTGGTTGTGGTTGGGGTGGGTGGTTGGTGGGGGGTGGTGTGTTGGGGGGTTTGTGGGTGGGGGGGTTGTGGTGTTGGGGTGGTTGTGGGTGGGTTGGTTGGGTGTGTGTGGTGGGGTTTGTGGGTGGGTGGGGGGGGGGTGGTGGGGTTTGGGTGGTGGTTTTTGGGTGGTGGGTGTGGGGTTGGGGGTTATGGTGGATGGTGTGGTGGGTGTGGGGTTGGTGTGGGGGGTGTTGGTTGTGGGGTGGTGGGTGTGGGTGGGGTGGGTTGTGGGGGTTGGGTGGGTGGGGGGGGTTGGGGTGGTTGGTGGGTGTGGGTTTGGTGGTGGGGTGGGGTGTTGGGGGTGGGGTGGGGTTGGGTGGGTGGTGGGGTGGGGGTTTGGGGGTGGGGTGGGGGGGGTTGGGGGGTGGTGGGGGGGGTTGGGGTGTGGGTGGTGGGGGGGGGTTTGGGGGGGGGTGTGGTTGGTGGTGGGGTGGTGGGGGTTGGGTTGGGGGTGGGGTGTGGGGGTGTTTGGGGGTGTGGGGGGTGGTGGGTGTTGGGGGATGGTATTGTTATAGTATATTGGTAAATTTTATGGTGGGAGATTGGGTAGATTTTTTTTGGTAGTGTTGTGTGGTAAGGGAGTGTGGGTGGGGTTTGGTTGGATTGGGTTGGGTGGGTGGTGTGTGTGGGGTGTTAAGAGTTTTTGGGGTGGGTGGGGGTGAGAGTGTAGGGTTGGGTGGAGGGGTAGTGTGGTGGGGTGGAGATTTAGGGGTTATGTAGGAGGTGAGTTGGTGGGTGTGTGGGGTCGGGGGGGTTATTTGTTGTGTGGGGTGGTATAAGTGGTGGAAAATAGGTGGGGGAGTTAGGTAGGGGTGGGGGGGGGTAGGTGGGTGGTTTGGTTGTTTTTGGGGTATGTGAGAGGTGAGAGGGGGGGGGGGATTAAGGGGGAGATAAATTGGGGGGGGTGGTGGTGTTGTGGGGTTTTTATGGGGGGTTTTGGATAGGGTGGGGGGTTGGTGTTGTGGGTTTGGGGGGGGGGTGTTGGGGTGTGTGGCGGGCGGGGTGGGGTGTGGGTGGGTTGGTTTGTGTGGGGGGGTTTGTTTAGTTTTGGGGGGGTGTGAGGGGGGTGTGTAAGGGGGTGTGTTGTGGGTATGTGTGGTTGTGTTGGGGTGGGAATTGGTATGGTGTGGGTGGGGTTTTGTTGGGAGGAGGAGGTGGGGTTGGGGGGGGGATTTAAGGGTGTTTGAGGGGGGGGGTAGTATGTGGTTAAGGGGGGAAAGAATGTGAATGAGTAGTTTGGGGGTGTGAAGTGGAAAAGGAGTGGGGAAGGAGGTTTATAAAGGGTTTATAGAAATGAAAGGAAGTATTGGGGGTTTAGGATTTAGGATATAATGAAAGGAAATAATGTGAGATTTGGTAATTTATGAAGTAAGAATATGGGTTGTAGTGGGGATATATGGTTATTATGGTATCCTATAAACGAGATTGAATGATATGGGGGATGGAACTGATTGGGGGATAAGGGGGGAGATGAAAAGGGGTGGTTTATGTAATGTAAGGGGGGGGGTACTGATGGGGATGGATTGTGGGGGATGTATAATTGGATGGAGGAGCCGTGGTTATAGTTGCTTATTCGGTAAGTCCTGCGTGAGTGAGTGACAGTACGTCTACACTATGGGAGGGTGCACTCTACTATCACACACACACATACAGTGCTGGGCGCAGTGCTGGGTTCTTCAACATAGGATGTGGTGCGCACTCATGACGGCGTGAGCAAGCTAGCTAGCATTATTTCAACAACGGAGAGGAGGAATAAGAAGAACATACACATCACACTGGGTGCATTCAGTTGTGGGGGTTTCTTGGAGTCTTGTTTTCGTCTTGGATGTCTTCTATTGGTTTTGGCGTCGGTCTGCTCACTCTGGTTGTCCGCTGAGGCATATTATTAACATAGGCTATCCTCGCTTGTCGCTTTGATCCTAGAATCTTCGATGGTTACGGTTATGGACCTGCTATTTCCTCGTTGATGTGATATTGGGTGATCGGGGGAGAGAGGCGAGATGGTGGGCGCAGGGTCACGGCTGTGCTGTGGTGTAAGTAGGTGAGGTGGGGGCGTTGGGAGAGGATTACGGGATAGGTATGGTAGGCAGAAGGTTGTGACAATGCGGACTAGTTAGACCGTGGGAGGGACAGGGGAATGCATTGTTTGTTTGTGAGCTATGGTGTGGAGATGGTCGAGTGGTGGTGGAAGGGGTTGGGAAAGTTTGCCACACATAGTGGAGAAAGGGGGGGGGGGGGGGGGGGGGGGGGGGGGGTAAGGGGTAGTAAGAAAGGGGGGGGGAAGGGTTGGAGGGGCGGGGGGGTGGAGTTTCGGTGAGTGAGATGGGGATAGGGTGAGCTGCGTGATAGGAGTGAGAGAGGGAGAGGCGAGTGGTGGTGTGCGGGGGGGTGGGGTGACTTTGGGAGGGTGGGTTGAGGGGGGGTGGGGTGAGGGGGTGGGGGAGGGTATAGAGGAATGGAGGGTGTTATCGAGGATAGTCATGTAAGGGGGACAACGGAGTGAGTGGTTTGCAATTACGTCAAAGGGTCGGAGGAATGGGAGGAAGGGCAGGGGGGGGAGGGTGAGGAATGCGGGTATGTAGGGAGTGGGAGGGTGTATTGTGATAGAAGAGGAATAGTGGTGTGAGGGAGAGAGATGGGGTTTTGATGAAGGGGTGTGATTTGCGATGGTGATGGGTGAGAGGGGGCAATACTTGGGGGATGGTAATGTTCGTATGTACATGGGGGGGTGGTCGGTAGTTGTCGTTAGTTCGGGGTGATTGGGGTGTATATGGATATCCTAGGGGTGGGGGTTTCATTGACTGTGTGGGCATCGGGGGCAGATCGGGGGGGTAAGAGCTGGTTCCGTGTGGGTCTATGCCTCCCGGGTCGGGGGTCTGCCGGTCGTGGTGTTGGAGGAACAGGTAGCTGGCCCTAGGCCAGTTCTGGTATGTTGTGAGGTCATATAAAACCTCACAGCATCAAGAAAGGGGGTGACCATCCTGTCCTCCGTCTCGTCGATGTGTTTTTGCATTGGTGTCCTTTCTGAGCTACACGGTGGACAGAAGGTGGGGTATACTTGCTTGCTCAGTGGTTACAGTGGCTATCCCGTGGCCCAGTGACTATTACTTTTTTAAGTTTTCGGATGGCAGCACTGTAGGCTTTTTTGTGCCACAGTTTGATCACATGTGCGGCCCATCAGTGCCGGAGGAATATGGCGACTATCATCTATCGGGTATCACACCCTCTGTAGTTACTGGTTGTGCGGCCAACCCTTGTAGAATTCGCGACAATGTTTTCGATGAAGGCCTTCCAAATAAAACATTATTCTGCCAGTCATGCGCTTTGGCCACTAGCAGTAGACCCTTCGCTTCAATTCTTGAGCCGGGGTTGCCTGGCGGAGTGCCTGCGGTTCTGCGTGCCGCTCCAAGAACGTCGTGGAAGATTTAGAATAGTGAATGATTGATACGAGGGCAAGTAATGGCAAGCGAATTGCCTCTGCATCATTACGGACTGTAAGAGTGTGTACTTGGAGAGCAGCGAGTGGCGTGAGTGAGTCCCTATTGTACGGAGTTCGGTGATGGAGTAGCCCGCACCAGCCTGGATAGCTTTAGCTGGTCTCCCTACTAGTTGACACAGGAGTCTGTGGGGGGGGGGGGGCCGATAGCGGATGGTCTTGGGCCTTTAGCGGGTCTGACGGTAGTTGTATAAGCTTTTGGGTATTGCGGTGCTCAGGTTGTCTCACTCCTCCTATACATACTATACTACTCAGTTCAACCAGAGAAATACGATAGGGTCTCGTGGTCGCCTATTTGGTGGGTACGTGTAACTGCCTTACCTTTGGCTGGTCATGTGTGGTGGTCTGGTGTACCGGGTGGTATTTGGGTACGATTTGACTTGTATAATTTCCTTTGTGACGGTTGGCGGGGTTTAGATGGGAGGGTGCCTCTGTCAAGTGTGTAGCCAACTTTAGGCGCATATGTAGTCCAGTCTTGTAGCAGTATTCAATGTGGTGGTGGGCTCTGCTGAAGCATGGGTGTGGTGTAACGCTCCTTGTTTGTGCAGCCGCTAGCTATCGGGCTGGCTAAAATATGGGGGAAATTTTCGTATGTTCTTGAGTTTCCTTGGCTCCTGGCGCTATACTGATCTCACATTGGAAAGTAAAGGGCGAAACATAGAATTCCGAGGCATTTAAAACTTTGTCCTGCTTCCTGTAGGACAATTCT